TGTATGTTACACTTATAGAACCTAATGTCAGTTCCTAGCATCCACATCATGGGACTTACAGCTGCCTGAAACTCTAGCTCCAGGGGATCCAACACCCTATTCCGGACTCCTCCCATACCTGCACTCAGAGGTAGGTAAACATTCTTAAAATTTTAAAACTTAAAAAACAATTTTTAAAAAGCTGATACTGGCATATGATCTCTATGAATTTGAACCCAACCTAGCCTATGTAGTAAGTTCTAGGGCTATGTAGATCTTTCTCTCTCAAATAAAAAAGCTGTTTCCAGAAATAATGGAAAAACTGTACATTTCACAGTGATTTAGCTAGAGTGTGTGTGTGTGTGTGTGTATGTGTACCCTGTTATTGTAATACAATATTGTATAAGACATTAACAAGATAAAACTTAAAATTTCAATGTGAAACAGCAGAGACCAACACTACACACACAACCCTCCCTCCAAACTCTTGTTTTCTAAAGGCTATGATGACACAGACTTCTGGGAAATGATGGATTTACTTTGTTGGAGAATGGCAAAGTAAATCAGGCCGACTAAAATGAAATACTTCCTAAGATGTAACTGTAATACAGTAGAGAGAGGACTGAACAGCCAGGTGTGATAGGTCATGCCTAGTATTTCCAGTAGTTGGAAAACTGAGACAGGAGACTGCAGTTCAAAGTCAACCTGGGGCTAGCGTAAGACCCTGACTCAAAATAAGATAAAAGAGAGACAGAGACAGACAAACAAGCAAGAGGACGTCCACAGACAAATGGCCCGGGACAGGAGTTGCTCCACCTCGACCCAACAAGATTTAAACCTGGGTTCTGGACTAAAGACCTGTCCTGAACTATAACCATTACCCAAACTTCTGTCTTCTGCAGCAAGACGCTAATAACTATGCTAAAACATGTAAACCCTAAGTTTCAAATGTAGCCCGAGGGGGATGGGGGGAGAGTTACAAGCTACAAGAATCTGAGCAGATTCTCAAAGAAATAAGTTTTCTATTTAAATCTAAACCTTTCCAACTGCAGAATCAAGAACTTGCAAAACATCAACGTGGCCCCTTCTACAGCTCAGATTACTCTCGCAGTTAAACCAAGTCAGTTTGCCCAGTTATTTACTAGGTATCAGGGGACATCAGCTGACAGAGGGTTAAAAGACCACACCACTCCCTAGCAGAGTGGAGGCGCCCAGCCAAGCACCGCCACTACTCCAAAAGTTGAGGCACAGAACGCCCAGACACCCGTCACCCTCCTAGCTCCTCCGGGCAAGGCGCCTCCTCGACACCCCTCCCCCAACCCCCGAACGCCACGGCCCTACAGCTCTGCTCTGGCTCTCCGCACTTGTCAGTCCTTTCTGTCTCTTTACCTGGGTTAGCTGCAGTTGCCGCCATGGTCGAGATGGCACCGTCGCTGCGCCACCCTCAGTGGGAGGGGCAGCCGCCACCGAGCTGGGGGAGGGGAGGGAAGAGCCACTCCACAGAATCGGCACCTTACCGCCGCCACCGCTACCACGGAATCCAAGATGGCGGATGCCCGACCCCCCCCCCCATCCTGGGGAGAAGACACGCCCCACACCATGGGCGCGGTCAGCCTCTAGCCAGCCTCCTTAGGAAAACTGACCAATAGAAACAGTAAGTCGCCATAGAGGCTGGGCTAGTGACTAGGCCAGTGAGTTCAATATCCCGAGTTGTGCTAAGAAGCCAGAGCTAGGAAGCCAACCAGCTGTTTCCCTAATCCGGCCTTCTTGGCGTCAGAGATTCATAACCAAATTGACGTCAGTGAAACGCAATGAAACCGAGCATTTTACTAGAAAGTTTCCTTTCCTAGTGGGCTCATCAGTATATGCTTCCTACAGGTGATTTGCTATACAAATCCTCTTTATCTTTTTATGTGCTATACAAATACTCTGTATGTTCTAACATGTCCCGACTTCACATAGTGATCACTAATCCATTCTAGATTGTTTTTCTTTATGAACTTTTGTTATTAGTAAAAGTCCGATAACTAATTCTTTGTTTTGTTTTGTTTGTTTTTTGTATTTTTGGTTTGTTTGTTTCGAGACAGGGTTTCTCTGTGTAGCCCTAGCTGTCCTGGAACTCACTCTGTAGACCAGGCTGGCCTCGAACTCAGAAATCCACCTGTCTCTCTCTGCCTCTCAAGTGCTGGGATTAAAGGCGTGCGCCGCCGCCACCACCACCCGGTGCATCCCAGTGCTCAGGAGGCAGAGGCTGGCCAATTTCTCTGAGTTCAAAACCAGCCTGGTCTACATAGTGAGTTCTAGGACAGCAGGAGCTATATAGAAAGATACTATCTCAAAAACAAGAAAGTCAAAGACATGAACAAAGGGCACCTTGCAAATTAATCCAGTAGTGAGAAGCAAAGTAAATGAAATTTTAACATTCAAACCTACTACATTCATTCCCATGTAGATGTGGATTGGAGGGGGAGGGGGGTAATTTTGTCCTTCAAAACAAGGACTCATGAACTCAGATGATTCACTATGTAGATGAAAATGGCCTTGAATTCCTGAGTCTAACGCCTCTCCTGTCAATGTTAGAACTATAAACATATGGCACTACTCTTTGGCTTGTTATCAGTCTGATTCACCAAATATTTAAAAATCAGCCACAAAGACGACTCCACTAGTAAGCTATACACAGCTACACCTAACTTCCCAAGATCCAATACTCTGAACTTACACAAGAGAGGACTCCTGCAAATCTTCAACTTTCCTCACACCATAGCATGTGCACTCACACATACACAAAAGTTTTAAAACAGCCAGGCAGTGGTGGCGCTCGACTTTAATCCCAGCACTTGGGAGGCAGAGGCAGGTGGATTTCTGAGTTCGAGGCCAGCCTGGTCTACAGAGTGAGTTCCAGGACAGAGAAACCCTGTCTCAAAAAAAAAAATTTTTATAAAAAAAACATTTGAAGTAGAACTGAGACAAGATGGCTCAAGAGCTAAAGGCACTTGAAGTTGGAGCCTCCAAAAGTCACATAAAGGTTCAAGGAGAGAACTCAACAGCTATCCTTGAGCCTCCACATACGTCACATGCGCAATCACCCACGCACACACGCACACATACTCAAATCATCTACTAACAGGAGGTACAGTGAGAGGCTAGATGACATAATGGCTTCTTATCTGGTTGTTTGTTGGTTGCTTTAGGTTGTTTGGTTGAATGGGTGGTTTGTTTAGACGTTTTCTTGGGGTTTTGGATAGTTTTATTTTTAATTATATGAACCTGTGTCTGTATTTAAGTTGTGCAGGAAGACGATTAGGCTGACAAGTCAGATCCTATCAACCTGGAGTTACAAGCAGTTGTGAACCATTCCACAGGAGTATTGGAAACTTAACTCAGGTCATTTAGAGGAGCAGCAAATCCTCGTAACCACTGAGCCATCTCTTTAGCTCATTTGTTTGTTGACACAGAAACTCAGTATGTAAGGCTGAACTCTGGAGAACCTCAGAACAGGGATTATTGCCAATTGGGACCATAGGCAACTAACAATTGATAGCCTTATGAAATAGGATTTCACACTGTCACTCAGGATACCCTGGCCTAGCCATGTAGGCCAGGGTATCTTCAAACTTGAATTGGTCCTTGTACCATAGTTTTTTAATACATAATTATAGGTGTAAGTCAACATGCCTATTACATACAAAAAAAAATTTAACCACGACTTTATTTTACTTTGGTTTTTCGACACATGATTTCCTTATGTTAACAGTCCTAGATGTTCTAGAACTTAATTTGTAGACCAGCCTGTCATCCAACTCACAGAGATACATTGGCTTCTACCTCCCAAGTACTGGGATTAAAAGCATGCAACACCACTAGACTATAATTTCTTATAATAGTCAAGTGTGCTATTTAGATGTCATGTTTTGTTTTGTTTTTATAAATTTGACACAAACTATGATCATCTGAAAGGAGGAAATGTCATTAAGACATGGCCTCCAACCTGGCATTGTGGTGCACACCTTTAATACCAGCAATTGGGAGGGCGAAGCAGGTGGATCTCTATCCGTTTCAGGCCAGCTTGGTCTATGTACCAAGTTTCAGGCCACTCATTACAAGACCCTGTCACCATCAAACAAAAAATTCCATTACACTGGCGTAGACAAGTCTGTATGATAGTGTCTTGATTAACGATTAACATGGAATGGTCCAACATATGGTTCAGGGGGCACCATAAGCAGGTAGTCCAACACTGTATAGAAAAAGCAGGCTGAGCAAGCCACTAACAGACTATCAGAAAGCTGCGTTCCCCAATGTTCTGTTTCACTTCCTAACTAAATTCCTACCACAGTAGTGGACTGTTTAATGCCAGCACCTGAGAGGTCAAGGCAGGTGGAAGTAAGAATTTCAAGCTAGCCTGATCTACATAGCATGTATCAGGCTACTCAGAGTTATGAGACCCTGTCACAATAATAATAATAAAAAAAAACCCTGTAAGGTGAAATAAATAAAATCAAAAACAACCAACCTGAATGCCTATGGTGGCACACCTTTAATCCCAACACTCACTCAGAAGGCAGATGCAGGCCATCTCTTTGAGATGGTCTACAGAGCAAGTTCAAAGACAGCCAGAGCTACACAGAAACCCTGTCTCAAGAAACAAAAAATCCAACCTGAAAAAAAAAAAAAAAAAACCCAAATGTGGATTTTCCTATCGTATTCCTATGCTACGGATTAATCTCCACTTTGTTTCTTCCAATTGTACTCCCTAACCTATATTAATCTTCCAATTTCCATGAGTATTTTTGTGCTTAAAGAGCCAGGTGTGGTGGCCCATATCTCTAACTCTGGCACTAGAAAGGCACAGAGGGAGGTTTGTGACTTTGAGACCAATCTAAGATACAGGAAGACATTGATGGAAGCATAAGACATGTTGTCTTAAAAAAAAAAAAAAAGTGAAAACAGTGAAATTCTGACCACAGTATGAGATGGGCCCCCTATTCCCCTACAGTCTACAATCCCTGTTCAGGTACCTGAGCTTGTTCTTGACGTTAGGGGTCTCAGCTACAATGCCAGCATAAAGCCAGACCTGATTTCCATCTTTGTATTTGGCCACCACTCGACTGCCCACAAACAGCTTGTCAGCGGGAGGGTGGTAATCATAGGCAATATGGTTCCAAGACAGCAGACTCTTTCCTTTGTTGTCAAATTTCACCTTGTATTTCT